GTTTCCTTTTCCGCCTTTAATAAAGCAGGCATAACAGACGATCTCACGCATCATTTTCTTCTCACCCTGAGAGAAAGCTTTTGTTAAGAAACTTTATTATTTTTATTATTATTTTCTTCTTTTTGCAGCATGCAAACAAAAATAGCGTATACATTGTACGTGTAGTTCAGGACCCTGTGCAGACGGTATAATCCAGAGTGGAGAAGAACAACAGGGGAAGGTAAAGCAGGATACAATGGGTTGACTGACAGGGGGGCGTGACGAGGGTGATCCGGTGCTCAGGGGGCGTGGCGCAGGCAAACAAGTTCAGACAGTCCAAGGGGGAGATCCGGGGCACAGTCCGAAGTCCAAAACCGGGGGGTCCGTCCAAGACGAGACAAACGAGGTTAAAATCCGGAACGGGATACGGAACAGGGACAGGGAATTAAACCAGGGTAACGAGGACAGGCGCTCCGAGCCTGGGACTCAGATGGTCAGGATGCCATGATGAAGCCTGTGCCATCGGGTCTCTCCTGGACCCTCTCCTGGTAGGTGGGCCCAAGGCTTAAATAGTGAGACAAAACAGGAGGCAGGTGCACATTATCAACTAGAATAGGTAAGGGCTGGAGCGTCCTTAAGAGGAGGGGTGACGATCGTGACATACATCCCTTTTCCCGTGTTTTTAGAGCTTTTATGAGTGACTAAGCTCAGAAGTTGCATGTGGCTTCTCATTCTACATTGCACCATGTGGATACCTTCTCTTAACTTGATCTGAATTTCAGTTTAAGGTTGTGTGGAACCCCTATGTGAATTGGAGATTGCCTGTAATAATCTACATGATCTTGTAAAAAGTGTAAAAAGAATGAGCGCTACAGTTCAGACGTGGCTGAGAGTGGAACACCAAAAATTGCACTCACTTCCTATGAGTGTGGTGCATTGTTCTCAAAGTATTACCTTTCACCAGCTGCCCACAAGACACCCGTCTTCAAAGTTCAACCATTAAACGCAGGTACATCTGGTTGGTTAAAGGCAACAGATGTCTGCAAAATGACTTCTTTTCAAACAGCTGATCTTGGACCATAACTAACTTTTACGAAAGAAATGGGACTATATACCATACTGTATATGTGCACTGAAGGCAAACAAGTTGGTTGTAGCCTTTTCACAAAAAATAATTAAAATGAACCAAGTACAAGGCTTTCTTTGCTTTTGTCTCAGTGTAATACCGTTGTGAAAGAGAGTCCAACCTCATATCAGTGACTGTGGCCTTGGACAGTGAAAGCCACAGTAGTGACACAGGCATTTAAAAAGCTGAAGTCAAAATGTGACAGGTGAAAGCGAGTTATCTCGCTAGCCAGCCGTGACTGGGACTCACCAGGCAGTGAAGCAGAGCTGGACTGGACCCCTGCTGAACTTCTCCAGGTTTGCAGTGGTGTCAGCGAAGAGATGGTTAGTGTGTCCTGCCGGTACTATAGTGACTGCAGAGTGTCCAAGAACAGATTGGGTGGTTGTGCGGGTGGGCATGGCCAAAACATTTCAAAAATAAAACGGCCGAGGCCTATTAATATAATGCATATTTTATCTTTAGAAAGAAAGCCTTAAGTTCTAAAAAATGCCAATTTTAATTGTAAAATTATTCTGGACCATATTCTATACAAGGCAGACACTCCCTCTGGAGCTACAAAGGAACAACATCCATATTTTTAAAACTTGATAGCTTGTGTTGGAAGATATGTGTTAGGTCTTTTTTATAAAATATATACATCCACATATATTTATAAAATATATACATCTCCATAATATTTTGAAAGAGGAGAAATAAATTCCACTTTCCAAAACCCTAAACAGGGCAATCGCATCTCGCAACGATTATTTTTATCATAATTCTCAAGCTATTAAAATGTAACTGTTACTCTTTTGTCTCTGTCTTGCACCTTTTAATGTAATTTTTCTAATCCATTTTAATTACTTTCTTTTAATAATTGCAACCTGCCCCTGCGCTACTTTGGTTTGATAAGGGACATTAATGATAAATGCGATTTGGGGCTTTTGGACTTTGTGGTCATACATCACATCTTAATTACACACAATCTAAAGCTTTTCAGATTCAGGTTATTTAATTAATATGCAGACTGTGATGCCCAGATTTGCCATAAAATCATTAGGTCCCTGTATCTTTATCATATTCCAGCGTACAATATCACACAACCTAATTGCCACCAAAAATGAGATCAGCAGCACAGCTACAGTATCCAGGGAGCGTTGCTTCTCCAGTTTAGACAACCCGTGCAAATGAGCTAGTAAGTGCATGAGGTAATTGAGTGATTTATTTAAAATGCATAATGACATCATTTCTCTTTGTTGAGAAGCAGTAAATTAGGCCCTGACTCTAATGGATATTGAGGGAATAGCCTCTTTTTAATGGCTTTCCCTAGAAACGATTTCAGCTGGAAAGATAAGTTACTGTACGAACACCATAGTCTCCGGCGCTCATTGAGGTGCTGGTTGTTAATTCTGGGAAAATGACAGGCTTTAAGTGTTGAATGCTTAAAACTTAAAGTGAAATGTTACTGCACAGGCTTGGGACAGTCCTGACCATGTACTCAGCGCTTAGGTCAGGACCCCTGGGGTCTCTCGGTCCGTGTATAGATGTGTAACTCTAGCACCTCCTAGGGTTGTAGGAGTGTGGAACTGCTAGCAGCCATGTG